CAATCCTTCTCTTTCTTCCTCCCTTCCTCCTCTCTAAAAAATAAATAACTAAAAGCTTTAAAGAAGAGAATCAGCCAATGACACTCAGAGCCTGCCCGGAGAGCCTGGGCTGTGAGGCAACTGGAGAGGTTCTGTTCCGCCCAAGCCCAGGGGCCTCACCCCACGGGGCCTCAGTTCAGGGTCTGGAGCAGAGTGGGGCCCCTCCTAATCCCCTGTTCTGGCACATTTTTTATCCTGAAACTTCCAAGATACTCACGTGTGAGGACCTGAGGTGCTGTGGGGAGTGATGGCAGAGAGTGGATCTGCCCCCTCTTTGGAACAGTTCTTTCCTTGTTCAGACAGGGATGGACACCCCCACCTTCCCACTTGCCAGGTAGGGCCTCAGTGCCACCAAGGCAAGAAGTCTGCACCCGGGCATCGAGCATGCTGGGAAAGCACACCTTGGACACCAGCTGCTTCTGAGGTGATTGAGTTCTTCTCTCTTTGGGGTGGAAGTCACATTTAGTGCTGCTGCAGTTCCTTCTCTGACATCTCCATGGCAACGTTCATAGAACATAAGGTGTTTGAGCTGGAAGGAGCCTCAGAAATCAGTTCTTTCCGCCCCCTCATTTCACAGAGAGGGGAACAGGCTCAGAGAGGGGATGCTACATACCCAGGGTCACACGGCAAGTCAGGACCCAGTGGGGGCCTCTACCTCCTTGTGCCATTCCCAGCCAGGGTTCCTTTCCCTGAGATTTCGGACAGCTGAATTCTGTAGAACTGATTTCTTGGGAGGTACTCTGGGGACACAAACTTTGGGGGCTTTTTCATATCCTCCTTGCTAAAGGACCCCTGAAGTTCAGCCTAGCTCTGCTCTGCTCAGTCACGGAGTTCCCCATTCAGTGCTTGGTGGGGGCAGGAGCGGGCAGGAGCAAGCAGCATCCACACTGTCTTCAGGAAGCTCATAGGCTGGTGCAGAACAGCACAATCCCCACCTTCAATGGACCACTGGACAGCAAATTTGCGTGTCCATGGAAGAAGAAGTGGGAGTGGGAGAAGCCAGAAAAGACCGTGTGGAAGAGTGTGCTCTGAGCAGGTTGAAGAGGACTCTCATTGCCTCCTGAGCCTGCTTGACTTAAGGGCCATGTCCTGTGGATGAGTGAAATGTGCGAGTGAAGCAGGAGGGCTTGGAAAACGGGCGCCCAGAGGGAGACAGTCCCAGACCACAGGTCCTAGAGGGTTGTTGCATCTGGGATGCATGGCACATATCACGCCAGGACAAGGGGGTCAGACACCCAGAAAGAGTACAGCAGCTAGAGGCCCAGGACATAAGGGAACGGGAAATCAGGGCCAGAGGGTGCTGGGCTTTGGAATCCAGGAGAAAAGCCTCAAGGAAGCTGGGGTTGCTCCATCCCTTTGCTGGAACATGAGACCCTCCCCCGCATAGCAGAGCCAATCCTATGTCAACACGGCTGAGGGCAGCAGGCCACTGTCCCCAGTGGGACATGGTCCTCACCACCTCCACGCCCCCCACTTCCACTGTTTAACCCCATGGCTCACAACTCCATGCCCTGCCACAGGAACCCGACCTGGCCTGCGGAGGGTCTTCTCTGTAGATTTGAACGTCCCAAGATTCTGGGCATCCCCAGGTCCAGCCAGGGCTGCTGTGCTGACATTTCCCACCAAATGGGCCATTTTTCTTTCCCTGGCTGGCAGCCTGTTCTTGTTATCTACAGCTGTATAACAAATATCTCCCGAATGCCCATGAATCTACCTTTTGCTCAGGGCTCAGTGGGATGGCATAACTGCTCTGCATGGAACGCCTTCTTTATTCACATGGCTGGCAAGCCGGTTCCTCACCACATGGGCTTCTCCGAGAAGGTATTTGGGCTTTATCATAGTATGGTAGCTGGGTTCCAAAAATGAGTGTTCCAGGAGACAGGAAGGAGGTGCTACCAGTCTGTAAATTCTGAGTCCACAATGGGACACAGGGTCACCCCTGCCAGCAAAGCAATCACAGCTCCTGTCTAGACCCCGGGGCGGGGAACATAGACCCTCCTCCCTGACTGGGAGGAGTAGCAAAGAATGTGCCATGTCTAATCCAAAGAGACACTCCACAGTCTCTGCCCCATGGGCTCTGACTCTTCTTTGCCTCACCTGCAGGCCTACCTATTCTGTCCCTTTTGGAGGTCCCCTTTGTCCCTATTACCTCCCATTAGGTTACTGCACCCCCCTCAGACTTATCTCCCCTCCCATGAGCTGCACCACCCATTCCCTTTCTGCTACTCTGCAGTATTCCTGTGCCAGTGTCCTCAGCGGCTCTGCTCGGAAACCACGCATGGCTCCCTACTTCTCGCTGAACAATTTCCAAGCTTATAGGCAAAACATTTACATCTGCCTTATACTCTAGTCCCTCCCCCCATGTTACCAGTTGGGTTACCTGCCATTTCTTCCAAGCAACTGGACCACACGTTGACCTCTTCTGTTCAGGGTGCCCACCTCCTAGCACTCTGAGCCTGCCCTAGTGGACGGCTGCTCGGCCCTCAAAGCCCAGTGAAGAGGCCCTTCCTCCACAAAGCCTGCTCTTACTCCTTGATATATATACACACACATTTAAAAAAAAAAACAAGACTAGTCTTGTTTTTCTAATGTGTGTGTATATACATCTATATATAATATGTGTATTGATTTGAAAGAGAGAAAAAGAGAAACATCGATTGGCCGCCTCCCATAGGTGCCAGGGATCAAACCCGCAACCTTTTGGTGTATGGGACAACACTCCAACCAACTGAGCCACATGGACCATGGCAATCCCATTGCCTTGTCATTGCACTTCGAAGTACATTCTGCCTTACATCCTTGTTAGCAATGATGTGCCCTGAAGTGTGGGACCCATGTGCCCAGACAGCTTACATTCCAGAGGGTGATATGGATGGCAAACAGAGGAACCAAGAGACTTAATGACCAAAGATTAGAAGGAATGCTGGAGAGAAAGAGGGGCAGGGGAGGGTGCTGTGATGCAGGGGCCCAGAACTTCCTCTTTTCAAGAGAAACCAGAGACTTGGAGTTTCACATATATTCTCCCAATTTTAAAGGTTGCAAGGTCAAGCCTTTCTGCTCTGCTGCTCTCAGCTTCCCTCTGCTACTGGTCTCCTACCCTCCCTAGCATGCCTGCCTCCTCTCTTCCTGGTCACCCCATCAGCACGAGCTCCCCCTTCCCCCTGACCCAGGCTTTCCTACAGGTAGCCCCCACTCACGGGGCACCCAAACTCCACAGTGGCTCCATGCCCCAGGGATGCTCCGAGCAGTGGCTGGCAGCAGGAAGTAGGCAGCCCACTGCATAGGACCCTGGGCCAGCCACCCTGCAGTTGGGCTCTGAGGGGTGGGATACCTGGAATACCCAGGGCCACAGTAGCGGAAGCCCTCAAACCCACCTCAGGTCCCACTACCCTCACACCTGGTCATTTATTGGCCTGGAAAAGGTGGGGGTCCAGAGGAAAAAGACAAGAAAGGAAGCGAGGGGCTTCCTTGGGTGTATACCCCAGCTCTGACAGGGCCCTGGGGAATGGGTCTCTAAGGGACCTGTGTGCCCACCCTGCCATGAGGCAGTTTATGCCTCCTGGAGCCAGAGTTCCCACGTGCAAATCCTAGCTCTGCGGCTTCCCAGTCTGGTGATCTTGGACAGCTCCCTTCCCTTCTCTGGGCCTCAGTTTTCCCATCTGAACACTGAGGGTCATAGCAGCATGCACCTCATGGGGCAGTTTGGAAGATAACACGTGCCAGGCACGTGATGGTGCTGAACGGAGGGCAGCTTTCCGCGGCCTTTCCCGTGCAGGGCCCCGCCAGGTCCTCTCGAGGAATCGCTTTGCTGGACAGCATCCCTCCATCTGTGCTTTTCTAGAACTCTGAGCCTGTGGAACGTCTGCCCAATATAATTACTCGAGCTCCAGGCACTGCCAGCTGTCCAGGCTCAGGCCTCTGAAGGACCTGTCACTTCAGTGAGGTGAGGAGAGCGAAGCCATCCCTCCAGCTCCCAGAAGAATATGGAGCAGAGACTGATCCTTTTGTCTGCACCTACTACCCCCAAGCCCTGAAAGAGGAGCATCTTGGTTTATCACTCCCGGGATTCCCTTACAGTCTCAGCCCCATTCTCAAAACCCAGAGCATCTTAGGTAGGGGTTCTGGGACAGAGCCCCAGGTGGCCTAGTTGGGGAGGACGTGTCAGGCCCTGGAAAGCGGTCTGCCAAGGACCAGTGTGAAAAACCTGGTGCTGCAAGTCCAATGGCCAGCCACTGCCTGGGGGAGAGGTCTCCCAATCAGATGCTTGAAAGCAGAGGGCCTGCTGCTGGCTGTGGTAGAACCGAGTTCTCTTTTCCCAAGACTTCAGCCCAGCCAGTAGGAGCTGTGGGGAGAGTTCCTTCCAGCTCAGCCCTGAGGCTCAGCAGTGCCTGCTAGGTCCTGCCTCTGATAACCAGCTGTCTGTTGAATTTCAGCCCTTGGTTCCCTGGAGTTTGTTTGCCAAGCTGGAGTTCCTGGACTCTGCTGCCCTGGAGGAGAGGGGGGGCCTGCAACAGGCCAGGTGGCATCTCTGGCTAAGAAGAGACAGAATCCCAGGGCGCCTACTCCCCCTTGCAGTCCCACTGCCCCCCACCTCAGAGCGATCCCCTTGTCCCAGACCCAGAAATGGTCCAGTGGGGGTCAATGGGCAAGATGCAGCACGGGGCTTAGTAGGGCACAGAGCGCAGAGAACGACAGGATATCGGGTTCTCCCTCACCCAGACCCAATGCCCCACACCCCAACCCAGGCCAGGAGGTGGCCACGGAGCTGTGCCCACCAGGCAGAGGGGCACTGACTGGCTCACCCTGGGCTGTGGCAGGGGTCTCGGGACGATCTCCTGGGCGGCTGGCTTATTTGCATGGCCCCGCCTCAGCGTAGCCATTGGTGGCTGCGGCGGGAAGCCGGGGGCTGAGTGGCTGTGGGGCTGTGGGGCGGCGGGGGTGGGGCTGTGGAGAGCCCAGAGCCCAGGATGCTGCCACTGCCGCTGCCACTGGCGAACGATAGGTTCGGATCCGAGTGGAGCTCCGTGTGAGCAGAGAGCAAGGCGGCCAGCTGTGCTTGTGAGGTGGCTGCTGTGGGAGCTCATTGAGTGTTCTTGCTGCCTGCCATGTCCAGGAAAAAGACTCCCAGGAGCAAGGAGGCCAGCGCGCCCGCTGCCTCAGTGTTGCCTGCCGCCAACGGGTCCCGGCCGGTGCGCCCTGGGACTGCTTGCCCCCGCTCCGAGGCGCCGCCCAACGGGCCCCCACAACCCAGCCGGCCCTCGCTTGGCGGTCATGGTGACTTCTACGACGTAGCCTTCAAGGTGAGTCGGGCACCCACCCCACCCCCACCATGCCAGCGCAGCAAGTGGTGCCTGGCAAGAGACCCATGGGGGTGGGGGTGGGGGGCAGTTCCAGGGCAGGGGTGCCGGACCCTGCGAACCCTTGGCGTGGAACTGGCTGGAGCGCTGCTGGCACAGCGCATCGTGCGCGCGCGCGCGCACACACACACACACACACACACACACACACACACACACAGCTGTGAGAGCTACATTTGGGATACCACACAGGCCTGCCCCCTACCATACCCTCCAGGTGGCAGAGCAGGATAAGGGGCCCTGTGGAAGACCCAGGTGCCCTCTCCCTGCTCCCAAATGCCTCCACCCTCGCTGTGGCCCCAGTCTCAACGTTTCCCATATGCTGCCTTCCCTCAACCCCAGGGTCTGTGGGTCTCCTCCTTTCTAGAGGTCAGGAGACTAAGAAGAGCTTTGCCAGTGGGTGTGGAGCATGGGAGCCTCCTCCAGGCCAAGGCAGAAACTTGTGAAATTGTAGGGGCTTGGCAGGACGATCTTTGGGTTTTGGAGCCTTTGGCAGTAGGCTGTGAAAGGGTGGAGGCAGGGTTAGGCCTGAATGCCCCTCCCTGTCCACGGACCTGTCTCGGGTCCCTCCTCCTGCTAAAATCTGACCCTTATGTGGCACATTCCTTCTGAATCTGGCTGGATTGGAAACCCTCTGGCACAGAGGGCCCTGCAGGCCTCCTAGGAAGTCCCTAGCTGCCAACCCCTAGTTCTGCTCCCCACCAAGCCCCAGAGACTCCCCTTCTAGATCAAGTATGGTGTCCAGGGCCGGGGGTGGGGGTAGGTAAAGCCCTGGATGGAGGCAGCTGCCCTCACTCCCCATTGATTGAGATGGGGTCTCTGCTGGGGAGAGAGGGGACAGAAACCTGTAGAGGTAGGAGCTGGAGGTGCAGGCCAGCTGAGATCATAGCTGCTGTGCCTCCGGCAGTCCTGAACCCAAGTCCTAGGGTCCACCTGTGGGCCCGGGGTGCCTCCCCCCACTCCTGCTCCTCACCCACAGCCCCTCTCTGACCAGGCCAGCTCAGGGAAGACCAGACACCCCTCTAAGTGGGCCAGCAACCTGGTCCCCTCTGCCCCTCCTGCTCACCCCAGGTCATGCTGGTGGGGGATTCTGGCGTGGGGAAGACCTGCCTGCTTGTGCGCTTCAAGGATGGGGCTTTCCTGGCAGGAACCTTCATCTCCACCGTGGGCATCGACTTTCGGGTAAGCATGGAGGTTGACATCCTGGGCCCCTGTCACCAGCTCACTGAGTTCTCATAACACCCCTGGTAGCTGGTTCTCCATTATCCCATGGCACTGACGGGCTCACAGGATGGAGCTCCTGGATGGACCCCTGAGTTCAAGGGTCAGGGTGGTTGAGGTGAGATGCTTTAACCATCAAGCTGCCTGCCTCTTGACGCCCCAGGGGTCCTGGAGACAGATGGTGGCTGCTTCTGACTGAAGTAGAGGTGGTACCCCTGTGTCTAGGGTCAGTACAACCGCCCCGGGGCTCTACCCTGTGACTCTGGGTAAGTGGTCACTGGTCCCCGCAGGGCCATCAGAGGCAACTCAAGGCCCAGGTCTACTTGGGAGGCCAGCATCACTGTCCCACTATATAAAGGGGACCCTGAGGTGCCAGGCAGGCCACCAGGACCTACAAGATAGATGGCTATGGCTCTTGAGCACACACCCCATCCAGCAGCTGGAGAAAGGGTGTTACCTAGAGACTAGGGGCTCGCTTGAGGGAAAGGTTCCTGCCTTGGGTGAGGAGGCTCATGGAAAATGCTCCTACTCAGCTGCTCTCCCCTGCCAAAGGCCCATAACCCCCCAGCTGGACGGCTATGCCCAGAGGTTCTTCTGGGGTTCCCCTGGACTCTTGGCTCCCAAGACCTTCCAGCACCTCGAGCAGCTTATGGGGTCAGTAGGATATGATAGGGGCCATGGCCTCAGGCATGTGGGGCTCCAGCATCAGAGCCCCCACCTCTGCCAGAGAGTCTAGGTTCCACGTGCCAGTGCTGAGGTGCTGTTTAGTTGCTGGTGTGTTCTCTGCAAATCCTGAATTTGCATTTTTCTCACTCTTTAATTAGACCCAGTTCCTTAGAGGCTGGGAGGAAGGCCTATTGTGCAGACAGGAAAAGGCTCTCCCTCCAGCCTGGCAGCCATTCTCTACCCTGTTGGGGGGACCAGATCCCCTCCAGTCCTCTGAAAGGGAGTTTAAGGGTTCAGGTGCCAGAAGGGGGTTGTGTAGGCCCAGGGCAGGTAGTCTTTTGCCTGTTCTGGCTCTGCTCCACCCCCCTTCTCACCTCTGCATCTGTTCTGGGGCAGGTGGTGAGGGAAGTGAGGTGGCTGGTTTATACCCGATCCAGGCGGAAGGGAAGGCGGGGTGTCCCCCCAGCCTGGCAGATGGCTGGGCTTGGTTCCCTGGAGACCCAGAAGTACCCTGACAGCAAGAGCTTGGGAAAAGGGAGACAGTGACATTCCACCTACCCTCCATCCCCACCCGGTAGATGGAAACCAGGGTTGGGCCACTCCCTTCAGGGCTTGTCTAGAGAGCATAGCCAGGCAGCAAACATGAGGTAAGCCCTGTGTAGAAGGCAGTTCTGCGCTCCGGTGACTGCACTGGGCCCTGTCGTCAGGGACCTGCCCTCTCCTGTGGAGAGCAGCTTTTAAATGACAACAAATGCTCTTAGCCCTCAGTCTGGGCCATATACTGTTCTCAGCGCTTTGCACATAGTAGCTCAAGTCATTGGAGTAGCCGCGTGATGGGCACCCTTGTCATCCTAGTTTGTGGATGGAGAAACTGAGGCACAGAGTATTAGTAATGGACCTGGGGTCCCATGGTGGGTGACTTCAAATGTTATTATGCAAATGGCTCCAAGCAAAAGGAGCAGCATGTCAGAGCTGAGAGATGCCAGTGGCTAGTAAGGGGGCTGGGGTCTACACTGGGGAGAGTGCAGGGGAAAGGCGTGTGGGGTAAGGCTGAATTGGTGGGCGCCAGGAATAGGAGGCAGACTCGGGGGAAGAAGCTGGGCTTGAGAGGTGCTGGGGGAGGGCCAGAGCAACTGGATTCGGTGACTGTTGGGTGGGTGGCGGCAAGGGGCAGTGCAACTGGTGCAGCAGAGTGCCAGGCCTGCAGGGTCAGCAGGGGAAGAATGACCTGGCCCAGAATTAGACACTCATGGCCACGGAGTGCAGCAGCCTGCAAGTCCATCACTATGTCCATCTGAGCAAGAGAGAGGCCTGGGTGCCCTCTGAGCATGCGTCATCAGAAGGGGCTCACCGAAGACACACAGGAGAGCTGGGTTGATGCCAGGACTTGGGTTCAAGAAGCATTACCTCCAGTTAGGAGGTAAGGTTAACCAGGAGGTGGGTGTCGGGGGCAGAGCCTGGCCAACTGAGGGACCAACAGGTTAAGATTGAATTCAGAGGCACCCCAGGGGATCATCGATTTTAGGCTCAGTCTTGGCCAGACATATGCCTGCCTCTCCCACCCTGCACTGCCCCCTGCCCCCCAGTTGAAGGCCCCTGCCAGCACATGGCACTGGGCTCATTGCTGGAGCTGGCTGATTGTGTTTCAGAACAAAGTACTGGACGTGGATGGCATGAAGGTGAAGTTGCAGGTGAGGCAACTGGGGACGGGTGAGTTGAGGGCACCTGGGAGGGATGGGGTAGCCTTGACCACTGGCCTGTATCTGTCACTGCAGATCTGGGACACGGCAGGCCAGGAGCGGTTCCGCAGTGTCACCCATGCCTACTATCGTGATGCACATGGTGAGCTCATGGACACAGTCCCAGCCCAGGGAGTTGGGGTCTTGGTCTGTCTGTGGGCACCCTGTGCCCTAGGCTTCTGCTCAGAGAAGGGTTGGGGGTGACTGGAGGTGTCCTCTCTGGTCCTCTGCCCCCAGCACTGCTACTGCTCTATGATGTCACCAACAAGGCTTCCTTTGACAACATCCAGGTCAGTGGCTTCCTTCTGGGCGTGTGAGTGGGGTGGTGGCAGTGATGGGTGTGACAATGATGGGTCAAGATGGGGCCTGAACTAAACCCCAACCTCCCTCAGGTAGATGGCATCAGGGGCTGAGGACCCCGCTGAGAGCAGGGAGGGGAAAAGAGGGCCCGTCTGGGCTTTTGGTGGCCCACAGAGTTTGAGCCAAAGATGGCCTGGGTAACCTTCCAGCTCGTTAAACCCAACTACCACCTCAACACTTGTCAGGGGCAGCTCAGCGTGGCACACTGGTAAATCTCTGGGCCCTTCCTGTCAGAAGCACTGCGGCCCAGATAGGGGAGGGGGAGGGGAACACCAGCCTGGTCTCAGCTCTCCCGTGACAGGCCTGGCTGACTGAGATCCAGGAATATGCCCAGCACGACGTGGTGCTCATGCTGCTAGGGAACAAGGTGGGCACCTGCCCCTGTCCTTTCCCTCTGGCTCTACAGGGGGGTGAGCCCCAGGCCAGTTCTTACCAAGACCCCTGTGCCAGGTGGACTCTGCCCAGGAACGTGTGGTGAAGAGGGAGGATGGGGAGAAACTGGCCAAGGTGAGTCTGGGTGAGGTGGGTGGCGCCCCTGGGGCTGTAGGGCCTGGGCTGTCCCCACCCGGATGGCCCCTGGCTAGCAGCAGCTGTTTGCAGGAGTACGGGCTGCCTTTCATGGAGACCAGTGCCAAGATGGGCCTCAACGTGGACTTGGCCTTCACAGCCATAGCAAAGTAAGTCCTGGCAGTCATCAGACCTCCAGATTCAGATTTAGGGTCTGAATCCCCTTATTAGGGGGATACAGGCCACCTGTTCCATGGTCACCCCTATCCCACAGGGAGTTGAAGCAGCGCTCCATGAAGGCCCCCAGCGAGCTCCGCTTCCAGCTGCATGACTATGTCAGGAGAGAGGGCCGCAGTGCCTCCTGCTGCAGACCCTGAACCTGGCTGGGGTCAGCCACCAGGCATCCTGCTGGAAGGCCCAGGTTTTCCAGGACTCTTGGGCTAAGCCTAGCCCTTCTCTTGTCTGGGTGGCAACCTGTATAGCCTCAACCCTAACAAATGGGCTTCAGGGAGCTACCAGGCGTGCAGGCATCCTTCACCTGCTGCAGCCAAGGCCCTCACAGAAAAGCCAACTGTAGGAAGGGGTACACTAAGCAGGGAACCTTGGTGCTCTCTGCTGCCCCCTCCTGGACAGAACTCAGCTTTGAGTTTAGGCAGCAGTCCCCAACCCGTTAAAAAGCCACGTCTTCAGCTGCCCATGCTTCCCAGGCAGAGACTAGCCGAATTCCTCCTAATACTCCAAGCTGAGTGAGGGCTGCACTGAGAATCACACGCGTTTGTGCCAAGGACCAGGGGTGGGGCATGTGCTCCCAGCCCATACTGGATACTCTGATTCCATCAACAGGGTCTTCTCAATTTCCCTTGGAGGATGCCAAGACTGGCTTTGTAACACAAGTAATAGCATGTGGTAGATTACAGAAATGTCAGGTAAACTAGGACCACCAGGTTGCCTGACCAGGGCACCATCTCGGCAGGCCACGGTATTGGGCACGACTTGCCTACAGTTGAGGCCTATACTTGGTGAGGTCAAGCCAAGGGGGCTGGTAATGCACTACATCTTTTGCTAAAATCTTCAAGTCTTTTGATTGAGAGCCTTTGTTTTCAGTCCTAGTGAATAAAGTTGTATTTTCTGGAGTGCCTGTTGTCCATTGAAGTCACCTTTTAGAGCGCTTGGCAAAGCCCAGGTCCTGAGGGTAGCACCCCCTCATACCCGGGTTGGCAAAGAGATCAGAGCAGGGCTGCCTGGACCACAACGCTATCCAAGCAGCACATGGGAACCGGGGCAGTCAACTCAACTTCCCACCCAATTAAGAGAAATTAAGATTTCATGACCCACCCTAGGGCAAAGGCACAAAGAATTTTTTTTTTTTTTTTTTGCCTTAGAAGCAAAATGGAGGTTGTCTCAGCAGGTGGGAAGTATGAACTTTCACTTTTGTGTCTATACTCCTTTCCAAGCTGCCCAGGGATGAACCAGTCCTCCCATGGACTCCTATGCACTTCAGAAATAAAGACTCTTGCACTTCAGTAAATTCTTACCACCTTTGCTTTATTGCTAAGCACTTCAAATACTGTCGATATGGACTACTCCAACTTACCACCAGGTCCCTGGCCTGAATAATGTTGATTTACAATTCAAGGTCTCCAACCAGGTCGTCGACGGTTCTGAAAGGCAGACAGTACAAATATGTACACAGAAGCCCACTGTCCCCATTTGTTTTTACCACCAGACCCACCGCCAATGGGCAGGGGGGCACCCTTAAGCCTCAGTCTTGCAAAAATAATCAGACTGCACGTGCAGTTTTCATACGAGGTGTCAGAAATTAAAGCAATTCATCACAGGCTGACAGCGGCATCGGGAAAGCCAGGTTTGGCCTTGTCTTACCCGTACGGAACTGTAGGTTTGGCGGTTCGAACTTCCCCGACGGAACGAGGAGGCTAGAAGGTGGGCAAGAAACGTGTACAACAGTGAAGACAACGGTGGGGCTCAGGCCGAGGTTGGACCCCAGGGCTACGCCAGCCTGTGGGTTTGGACGACCTCCTCGGCTTCATTCGGTGCCCAGCTCCTCTCCAGGCGTGATACACGAAGTGCCCAAACAAAACATCTTTAGTCTCTTACTTGACCCCGAAAGAGCGAAGATACGCGAGGTTCAAGCTTTTATACAAACTGCCCCACCTCTGCGATTGGATAACCCCGGCAGAGTATCCGCCCCCACCGCTGACACGCTCCGCCCTCTTCTTGATTTCACCAATAGCACCATGACATTTCTTTTAGGGGAGGTCTTCCCTTTTGTAAAGGCCATTAAACCTGTGAGCGACGGATACCCAGAGCCAATTAGACTCCGATCTGCCACTTAGAGCGAACCTTCTGAAGCCACCACCCAGCACCGCGACCGCGGCGCCGCCGGAAGTCGTAGTTTCCGCAGAGTCGCGCTTGGGCCAACCTCCCGGGCCACGAGAGAGCCCAAGGACTACAAATCCCAATGGGCTCAGCGCCTGACACTTCCGGCTCGCGCGTCCTTTCCCTTTTTCAGCTGGCGGCCGAAGCGGCACGATGAAAAAGGAGGGTGGTCCTGCCACTCCCGGGCGGCCGCGGGCGGGTGAGTGTCCTCGCGGCGCGCCCGGCCGGGGCTACGCGCCTCGGGGCCGCGTGGTGGGGCGAGGGCTGGGTGCTTTGGGGTCCGGCAAGGGGTTGAGCCTTGAGGGGCGGGGCTGAGTCGAAACGGGGTCTCCGCTGCTGTCCCTCTCTTTGCGTGTCAGCTGATTTCTTGCTCGCTCCATTCTTTCTTTCTCTTCCTTTTTATTCATTCCTTCTTCTTGTGTTTATTGAGCACGGCCGGAGTGGTCGACACTGTTGTAGGCGCCAGGAGAGTGAGGAAAGCCTGATCCCAGTCTTCATAGGCTCTTATGGTGTGGGATTTCTCAGCCTCGCTACTGTTGACACTCAAGGCTAATCATTCCCTGCTGTGCCTTGTAGGATGTTGAGCAGCATTCCGGGTCTCTACCTAGTAGGTACCAGTAACCTTCCCTACCCTCTGCTGTAACAACCAAAAGAAAAAAAAATGTCTACAGACATTGCCAAACGTCTCCTGGGGGGACAGAATCCTTCCCCACCTTGAGAACCGGTGATCTAGAGGGAGGAAGTGCTGACAATATACTGACAGAATCATGAGGAATTGTGGTAGGTGCTATGAAAGAAACAGGAGCTAAGAAAGAAAGTACCTCAGGCTCCTGATAGGCTTGTGGGTGGGATGGGGTGGGGGACCTATGGCAAGCAGACTGCCCCAGATGTTGCTGGAAGAGCATGTCAGGCAGAGGAAGCAAGATGTGCAAAGGCCTGGAGGTGCTGGAAGAGCTGCCTCAAAGCAGGGCTTGGCTCTAATGGGGACCTGCATCTGGCCAACCCACTGCCTCCGACTTCAGCATGGCCAGCCTGGGCCACACGCTCCACTAGCTGCTAGCCACAGGGCCCAAGTGGGCAGGGACTCCAGCTATCCTGATCCACAACCCCTCTGAGTGTTTCCCAAGGGGAAGTGAGGGCAGCAGATCCTGGGCTTCCTCCAGGGCAGTGGGCCGGAGAGGGGTTCCCAACCAGCTGGCCTGCCTTCCCTTGCAGGCCGCTCAAAGAAGGGGTCTGGTGGGTGTTTCCTAAAGAGGGGCTAGAGCATTGCAAGTGGCTCTTCAGGTCCACTGGACAGGGAGAGCACCCTAGAGCCTTGGAAAGCCAGGGCCCTGAAACCCTTAGATACAGACGGAAGCGGACAAAGATCCCTGGGCCCCTCCCCTGGGCTCCCCTGAGGCCCCTGGGAACCAGCAGGGTGGGGACTTGGGGGCGGGGAGAAAGACCTTTTCTCATCCTCCTGCCCTCACCCAGGTCTTCCTGGCCTGCCCAGCCCAAGACTTTTCCCAGTTTGGGAGAAGCCAGGCCCTCAGGCAAGTGAGTGTTCTTTCTCTAGTTGACAATTTCCTGACTGCCTGAGAGCCTCAGTCTGACTGCGGGGTAGGGGAGAGGCCTGTTCTGGGGGTCCAGGGTACATCCCCAGGACAGCTGGGCCAGAGCATCCCTATAGCTGGGATTTTGGCCTGCAGGACAAGAAGATACCGTAACAGGAAGACTGTTATTGCAAAATGCAGTCCTTGGGGGACTGGGCTGAGAGCATCTTGCTCAATTCTGAGATGCTTAGCAAGCAATCATTGTTGGGAACTGGGTGGAGTGCACAGATGGGGGGCGCTGGATTGCAGCCCCAGGTCCTGCCCACCCCATCCCCGGCTGAACCTGTATGAATCCTGAAATGGTTCCCTCCCTCCTTTCCTGGCTCAGCTTGACGTGTGGGCCAATCTTGTAGGTCCCCCCAGTAGGTTTGTGTGTCAGAGCTGCGGACCTGGCCATTGTTGGCCTCCCAGGACTTTCCAGGCGATTGCCCTGTGAGCCCCGCATGCCTTTCTGTTTACTTCACTTCATAGTGAGGGATGGCCAGACGCCTGCTCTTCCAGGCTGCAGTGACAGGCACATGGGCACGCTGGGACTCACGGGGGCTGGTGGCTGGCTGTGGTCTGGGGGTGGGGTGCCTGTTGGGGTCCTGGGCCTGGCCCTTGGGCACTGTTCACTGGGGCCAGCATCTGGTCTCTGGGCCCTGGGAGCCTGCAGTAGAGGGAGCAGTTGGATTGTAAGATGTAGGTCAGTGTCAGCAGTGGCCTCCCTGTGAGAGTCCCCAGCCTCCTCCCTGCCCTGTGGTGCTGAGACAGCAGCCAACCGAGAGCTTCCTGAGAGGGCAGAGCCTTTCCTGCTGCTGGTCGAGTCCCGGAGCTCCTGTTTTGGGCTGTCGGGGCCTCACCCTGGCCAGGCGTCCTTACCTCCAAGCAGGGTGGCCCCTGGCACTTCCTGCTTTGTATGGAGACCAGCAGTGGTGCTGGAGGGGAGCCTTTCCAACAGGCTACATGCACACCTCTGCCCAAGGGCCTGGGATGGCCCATTCTCTGGAGATTCTGCCTCTCCTCCAGAGGACAGGCCACCAGGGAGTCTGGTCTGGGGCACACATTCAAGCCCCTCAAGTCACAGTAAGAGGAGCGGTAGATAGATCGGGGAGGCTTTGGCCAAGCTCTCGGACACCCCTATTAGCCAGACCCAAAGGGCAGTCAGATCACGGTGTTGGGGTGGTGCCTGGTAGCCGTGCCAACTGCAGGGCCTGAGAGCCGTCCTGATGCGGACTGAGTTGTGAAGGCGAGGAGGGTGGTATTGCAGGTGGCATTTAAAGGAGCAAGGGAGAGAGAGGGATATGGAGACATCAGGGACAACAGGCAGCTCATGAGCACAGTGCGGAGACACAGGGCTCAGGAGCCATCCCGTCCCTGCAGACCCGTGGGCTGGGTTGTAGGACCACTGGGTAGACCCCAGCACACTGCATTGCTGCGGTGTGTGTGGGAGGGTGGGGGGAGCATTGCCAGATGGGCCAGCTCAGCAGATCCTGATGGAGAAAGTGCCAGAACTGGTTGGACTGTGCCGTTGCCCTCCGTGCTACACTCACCTTGGGAAGGGTCGGAGACTGTCTCCCGCCTTCTCCCACAGTGTGGGGGGCTCAGCAGCCTTCCACCTGGAGCCATAGCCCTGTGGGGCTTCTAGACCACAGGGCCCCCCACCCCACCTCCTATGGCACCACCGGGAATAAGATGAGCTCGGCCTCCCTCCCCGTGGGGAGCCCAGCTTCAAGCCTGGGCCTTGTGGTTCAACACGGCCAACTCCATCACAGGAGGGGCAGGCAGGGCTGGTGACAGCAGACTGCTGTGAGTCCTGGCAGTGGGAAGACCACTGGAGGGTGGGAGCTGTCAGGCAATAGAGCAGCTCCTCCAGGTGTCCTTAGTGCCTCTAATCCCTTCCCCCACCTTCCCACACCCCTGGGTCTGCTCAGTGTTCCTGGGCTGCCCCGCCCCTCTCTTCCGAGGGCTGGAGCTGGGAGGCCCAAGATGATTCACACAACGCCTTCTCCCTGCCATCCGCCTGAGACCTGAGTCACACGGTTGCTGGGCAAGGAGGCAGCCTTTGTTTCTGGGGTGGGTGACCTGCAGAAGGTAAAGAGTCAGCTCCTCTCTCGGGCCCTCCTCCTGCCCGCAAGGGGCTTTCTCTCTGTGATGAGGCTTGCGAGGAGGCAGGCTCCAGGTATACCACCCAACAGGTCGTCTAAGGTGTGGCCAGTGTCTCTGATGTTGTGGCAGGAAGCAGGCATGTAACTGGTCACTCCGTGTGTGCACAGCCTTGGCCCCAGGGACGTTTGACATGGGGCAGGGCCGATGGCTCTCCACCCCTGGGTTTGAACTGGGTGGGCATTTCCAAGCGGTTAAGCCTTTAAGAAGGTAAAACTGAGTGCTGGCTTCCTGCCTGCACCAGGGCCTCCTCCCGTCCTCAGGTGGCACACCTGTGGGCAGGGAGGGGCGCAGACTGTGCCCCGGTGGACCTTCCCTTGTTGGTGCTGCTGATGGAAGGAGGTGGAAGCGTGCCCTGCCGTGGGCTGGCAGGGGTGGGCCTGCCATGCAGAGTGGCCCTAGCCAGTTGACAGGCCTGACCTCAATGTCTAAAGTCCCATTTTGTGTTCCACCCACAGGAGATGCTGCCAAAGGACCCTAGATGCCTCTCTAGAGCATGAGCTCAGGCAAAAGTGCCTGGTACAACCGCTTCTCTGGTGGACCTTCCAATCTTCCTACCCCAGACATCACCACCGGGGTAAGGGGCGCCTTGTGGGTAAGGGTCTGCCCTTTGTGCACACCCCACAGGTCCAGGGTCCCGTGGTAGAGCTGCTAGAGCTGTCCGTTTCTACCTGGGGGTCCTGTGTGTGGGGCTGTGATGCACATTCATGGTGTGTTGGTGTGAAAGCATGTCAGTGCATGTCCACATCCTCTCTGGAGTCAAAGCCAGGTCTCATCAGTTCTCTTTCCAGACCAGAATGGAAACGACCTTTGGGCCCGCCTTTTCGGCTGTCACCACGATCACCAAAGGTGAGCCTGTGAGCCCAGGCCAGCCCAGCTAGAATCTGGGCAGCCTTAACTCTGCCAGTGTCTGTGGGACCCTTCTTGGTGGTGTGGGGAGTGGGAGCTGGCATTGGAAAGAGGGCGGGTCAATTCAGCAGCCCCGCCAGCCCCCCAACCCCCGCATCCCCCTTCCCCTTCTTTGTGGTACTTTGTTCATCATCTCTTCGGGGAGGGCTGTCCCAACTTCCCCAGCACCCCATGCACACCTGTCTCTTGTCACAGTGACCTCTACTCATCCCTGCTCCAGGTTCCTAGCAGCCTCCAAGTTTGGGTTTGGGGACTGTGTGGGCATGGGTAGGGAATAAGGAGTGCTTTCGGGGTACTTCCTCGAGTCTGGTCCCACAGCTGCGGCTCCAGTAATGTGTGTTCAAGGAGGTCACGAGGAATTGGTACATGAGGGCGTGGTCTCCTTCCCAGAGTCACAGAGGCAGGGGCCCGTCCTGTCAGGGTCAGGGTCTGGGGGTGGTTTGTGCATTTGCCTTTTTGCCTCTTGGCCCCTCACAGGAGGCCCATTAGGAGCATGTACAAGCTGCTAATTGGTTTTCACATTGCTTTTCCTTGGTTTCCTCTGACGCACATGGAGGTACAGTCACAGGGCCACTGCACTCCTGCTCACGCCAGCTCCTCTTTGTTGCTGGGTGACACCTTCAGGGGCTCAGAAAGAGCCCTCTTTTTTTCTTAGATATTTTTTCCTGAGGAAAAAGTAAATAAATGTCACTTCTAATCTTATCATCCAAGTAACTTTCTTTTCATTTTAATCTTCATCTGTGGATATTCTTACTGGTTTTAAGATTGCATTTATTTATTTAGAGAGAGGGGAAGGGAAGGAGAAAGAGGGGGAGAGAAACATCAGTGGGTGGTTGCCCCTCATGTGTCCCCAACTGGGAACCTGGCCTGCAACCCAGGCATGTGCCCTGACTGGGAATTGAACCAGCAACCCTTTGTTTCACAGGCCTGCGCTCAATCCACTGAGCTATACCAGCTAGGGCAAGTTTATTGATTTTAGAGAGAGGAAGGGGGAGAGAGAGACACACATCAATGTGGGAAAGAAATGTTGATCAGTTGCTTCCCATAGGTGCCCCAGTGAGAACTGAATCCATAATCTGGGTATGTGCCCCGACTGGGAATCGAACCCACAGCCTTTAGGTGTATAGGATGGTGCTCCAACCAACTAAGCCACCTGGCCAGGGCCCTAACAACTTTCTTAATTTCTCATCTACCTGTAGAGATGGCACAGCCTTGTCATAGTAGTTGAAAGCTCAAGGGCAGTGAATGATGGGCCCATCTTGCCCTTGTCCCACTCAGCAGGTTCCTGGCAGCCTCCATAGGTCAGAGCCATGTCTGGACAGTTGCAGCTCCTCTCGGGATAGCCTACTGAAGCCCGTATCATAAATCCAGGAGCTGGTTTTTGTGACATCTGGCCCCACCTAGGGCCTGAGGCCAGGGAAAGCCACTCCTAGCTCTGGCAGCCAGGCTGATGGGCAGTAGGAGAAGGGCGTGGGCCTCCAGCAGCCTTGCCCGGAGGAAGCAAGAAGGCCAGTGGCTGGTTCTGGGGTTGTGGAGGAGCCAGGGTGGGAGGTGGGAAACTGGTGCTAGAGCACCAGGCTGCCATGTTGGCCTCCATATGCCAACGGAGGGGCTTCACACCTTTCCATGTCTCGGTTTCCTCTATGAACTGAGGCTATCAGAGAATGCACCTGGCAGGGCCTCCTTGAGGGTTAGATAAGGTAATGTCCTAGCTCCTGCCAGGCGACCTTAGGTGTAATCACTCAGGTGTTGGCCTCGAGCCTCAGCTGGGCAAAGTGGCCTCAGGGTCAGGCTGGGTGCTGGGAGCTGGTTGTAGAGGCTGAGAGAAGACCCCTCCACCACCACCCTCCTGGGGGCCTGCCTGGGCGCCTGCCTGGGCGCCACCGGGCTCAGTGCTAGGACGGTCCAGGGTAAGCCAAGCCCCACGGCAGAGTTCTAGTGATTAGGCCTGGGGAGGCCACCTCGGCCTGTACCCTCCCCACCTGCCTCGGCGCTGGGGAGGCTGAGAGCTAGTGATGGCTTACAGAGCAGCGCGGGCTCTCGCTGGAGGCATGGGGCCAGTCATGCTGTGCCCTACTTAGGCACCTGCTGAGGATGAGGCGTTTTCCAGTTGCCCCCAGCCCAGCCCCAGCCGAGTTGCCATCAAACCCAGAAGGAGGCAGTGGGAGCCAGCATGGGTAAGGAGGCTTCCTAGAGAGGACTAACCAGATGTTTGGCCTGGTCTCTGACCCACTGCCTGCTGCGGTGAGTCGGGCTCCCCCTGTGGCCCACGGTCACAGTACCCTGGCCCTCTCTTCTTGGCAGCCGACGGGACCAGCACATACAAGCAGCACCGCAGGACACCCTCCTCTTCCAGCACCCTTGCCTACTCCCCTCGGGACGAGGAGGACAGCATGGTAGGTCTGGGTCAGCCTCCCCGCCTCACAGGAGCGTCCCACCACGCTCTGAGTGCTAGGGCCGGGCCCCAGGAGAGGATGGAGGGGGGATACTTAGCCTTGAGGAGCCTTGAGCTATACAGTCCGTAGTGGGAAATGAGCTGGTGGGACAGACAGAGGGATGGCACGTGTGGACACTCTGAGGCCTGAGCACCAAGGCTGGATTGCATGGAGAGGTGGCCATCAAGGACTGCCGGACCAGCGGGTATTGTGCATTTGGCTCCATCTTGAGTGGGTAGAAGCCACAGAGAGTTCAATCAGGAGAGTCCCCATTATCTGAGCCCCTGTGCTTCCCCAGTAGAAGATGAGGGGTGGTTGCCAGGTAGAGGCAAGGGGCCTGGGAAGGGGGTCCTGATGAGGGAGATGGGCCCCAGCAGATGGGGAAAGGAGGACAGGCCTGCGGAGTGAGAAGAGGGTTCGAGGCTGAGTGGGGGCTGGCTGTCGGTGCCCAGGCCATGTGGCTGGGGTCATAGTGGACACGCCCCGCCTGCCCGCTGGCACTCGTTGCCAGGCTCTAGGGCCTGCCGGGGAAGCAAGGACTGGTTCGGTGCGGGCGGGGCACATGAGCACCTTGAGCCCGGCCATCGCCGACCCGTCCTGTGCTCTGCTTTCTGCTTTCCCTTGGCGGTTGCCCTGACAAACTCTCCTGGGTCCCCTGCCCTCCCAGCCTCTCAGGACTGAAGGCTTCTCCTTATGCTGGGCTGCCAGGCCTGTATTTTCTATTTAATAGGAAGAAAAGTTTTTCATTTACTTGAACACACGTGCTCGTGTACCAGGCACTGCACTAGGCCCCCCATAAGGACAAGTCACACAACTTGCCCCATTCTCTCCAGCTCTTCCTGCCTCAGTGTCCACAGCCTCTGGCTGGCCCACAGGAGTGTGACTAGAATCAGGAGGCCCTCCCTCCCATGGGGGCCTCCCGGGAAGTGAATTCCGTGTGTGTGGTTGTGGTCCTGGCCTTGACGGCTTGAGGGCGGGGGCACTGTGCTCTGAAGGCCCTGAGGCCATGGCTGCCTGGGCATCTTCTCCGTTGGCTGCTGGGACCCTGGAAGCTGCTCCTCTATCTGCGCTGGGTGGCCGACAGTGCCAGCCCCTCTCTCAGGAGGGCAGGCGGGCAGGCGGGCAGGGAAGAGTGGAACCAGGCCCGGCCTGGCTTGCTTAGCACAGCTCCTGTGTGGACCACTCTTGTCCTCTGGTTCCCACTGCTGCCCGTCGGCTGGTTTGACGCACTTCCTCTGCTGGCCCCTTGTTTCTTATGTAGCGTTTCTATGCAGACTCACTACTTGGAATGCTGCAAGGGAAGTGGGCACAGCACTGGCGAGAGAAGTGCTCTTCTGTGGGCACACCAGGGACACAGGTCTCTGCCACCCTCGCTTGGGAAAGCTGGGCCCTGGAACTGGCTGGGCCTCTGTGCAGAGCTGGCACCACCCGGCCAGGCCTCCCTCTGGCGGGTCCAACACCCTGAGCTGGTGGAGAGGGGGTGGTTCCAACTGCCCCCACACCCACAGAGACTCAGAGGCAGTTGGGCCCTGGAGCAGTGGGGACCAGGAGGGGCCTATGGAGGCAGGAGGTTTGTGACTTTTGAATGAAGTCTGAGCATGAGGGGAGGAGTATGGGAGCAGTGGCTCTTGAAGGGTCTCTTCTGGAGCATTCTAGGCCTAGAGGGGAGGAAGGCACAGCTCCCCACTCCAGGATTCCCCCAAATCTCATCTTTGGTGGCTCTGGCAGAGGCAGGTACCCATGGTCATCCCTCCTGTACTCGGAAACCTGGCCAGGGTTCAGTGGGTGTGTTTCCATCTTCCCCGGGAGCCTCACTGGCCTGGCTCAGTGTTCCCGGCCAGGCAGGCCGCCGAGCCGGGCGGGTACCTGGAGCCTCTTCCGGCCAGCCTTCATTCCCTTCACTCTAGCAGCGTGGGGCTGTGGCTGCCCTGGGATTGGCTGCTGGAGATGCCCCCTCTGCAGCCACATTCCCTCACGGGAAGCAGGAAGCAGGCCCAGTGTGTCCTCGCAGAATTGAATAGCAGGAAGTCTCTCCATTTACACAAAGAAAGTTGGCAGGCGTGAGAGTGGGTGGCCCAACAGGGCCTGGATCACTGGACAGGAGCGGGCCTGGGCATTGCACCCGCTCCCCATGCACACACCATGGCCCCTGCAGCCTGAGTGAGCATCTGCTCGGATGGGGTGGCCCTGGGGCCCACTGCCCTCAGTGTGCACAGGGGCTGCCCCCCTCCCCCCACTGACGGGCGCCTGTCTTCATGCTGCAGCCCCCCATCAGCACCCCACGCCGCTCTGACTCGGCCATCTCCGTCCGCTCCCTGCACTCCGAGTCCAGCATGTCCCTGCGCTCCACGTTCTCGCTGCCCGAGGAGGAGGAGGAGCCGGTAGGTGTGGCGGCCACAGGGTGGGCTCAGCACAGATAACTTGAAAGGACCCTCACTGTGCTGTGGCGGTGGTGGGGGGCACTTTCCCCCAGGCACAGTGAAGGAGTGGAAGGGCCTGGTGAGAGGCCCCCATCCTCTCTGGTCCATCTCTGGTCCATACCAGGACCCCAGGCCAGGTCCCTATACATGTTCTTCCTACTCCCCACCCCAGGGGCTTTCCAGGGACCAACTTCAGGGACCTGTGTGGGGTCCTTTCTTGTTGCCATACCATGTAGAGTGTAGGTGCTGGCAGGCCAAGGGCACACCTGGAGGGGTCCTCCGTACTTGGGCCCCTCAAATTCAGTCCCAATACCAGGCCTCAGCAGGTTCCTCTTGGGACACACCCCAGCTGAGGGGCCCCCACCCTGAGAGGGCAGCCCAGGCCTGTAGGGGGAGGGGCTGGGTCTCCCCCTACTTCCACATCAGCACCCCTGGCCTGTCCTCACTTGCCCTGCCTGGTTCTAGGAGCCACTGGTGTTTGCGGAGCAGCTCTCGGTGAAGCTGTGCTGCCAGCTCTGCTGCAGTGTGTTCAAGGACCCTGTGATCACCACGTGTGGGGTGAGGCCGCCTGTCCCCTCCCTGACTGCTACGCCACCTCGGGGCTGGGTGTGCTGCCAGCCCCATTCATGTGGAGCCCGGGCCTTGGTCACAGGCCTGGTCTGGCCACCCAGCAGAAGCCCTCTGCATTGGGCGTGGGGGGTTGGTGGCTGTGGCTGCGCCCCAACTTTATCCATTGTCTCCACAGCATACATTCTGTCGAAGATGCGCCTTAAAGTCAGGTAGGACCCTTTCAGACCCAGGCCTGGCCACCTTGTTTTCCAGCTGGCAGGGCGGCCCCTTCAGGGAGGTCCCAGCCCAGGCCCAGCACTGATTGCGCCCCTGGCTGCACAGCGGCTTCTCCCTAGTCCTGCGCAGTATCCATGCTACAGGTGGCGGTGGCCTGTAGGTACACTCAGGCCAGGCCTGAGATGTTGGCGGAGCAGAGCAGAGCCCCAGCTCGGGGCTCCCTGGGCTCCACACCCGCCCTCCCCAGTGGAGGCTGCCCTCACTGTCCTGGCTGCTGCCTCGCAGTCTTATGCCCTAGTAGCATCCAGGCACCCCTGCAGGGCCACGGGCTGGGTCTCCTCCTGCTCTGTCCCAGCCCTCTGGGCCCTGCCCTTCAATCTTGGGTCAACTGAGAGGCCTCATCTGGCAGCCATTCTGGGTGGCCTGCTCGTGTGCCCCTCCTATTCTGGACACCTCAAAGGGGCGGATAGCCAGGTGAATCAAGGCCCTGACGGGCTCAGCCCACCAGCAGGGGGGAGCAGGTCCCAGGCCACTCACCAGGGAGCAGAGCTGCCAGGGGAGGGGCCGGCTGGGCAGGCCGTGGGGTCAGCACGCCTTCCCCTCCAGAGAAGTGCCCCGTGGACAACGCCAAGCTGACAGTGGTGGTGAACAACATCGCCGTGGCCGAGCAGATCGGGGAGCTGTCCATCCACTGCAGGCACGGCTGTCGGGCAGCAGGGGTTGGGAAGCCCACTGTCTTTGAGGTGGACCCCCGAGGGTGCCCCTTCACCATTAAGCTCAGTGCCCGGAAGTAAGTGCTCCCCTGAGCCCCCAGCTCTCCGCCAATCGGGTGCTGAAACACGGTACCTCTGGGGACTCAGCCTGTCCCGTGTCGTGCCTCTCCCAGGGACCACGAGAGCAGCTGCGACTATAGGCCTGTGCGGTGCCCCAACAACCCGAACTGCCCACCCCTTCTCAAGATGAACCTGGAGGCTCATCTCAAGGAGTGCGAGCACATCAAATGTCCCCACTCCAAGTACGGGTGAGTGGGCGGGGGTGGGCTCCAGGGGGCTGCCCTGGGGCAGGGGTGGGCGGGCAGGAGGGCGGGGGCCTGGGCTGGCATTCACCATCCCTCCTTCAGCAAACCTGTTGAGATCCACCTGTGTGCCGGGCACTGGGGAGACAGCCAGGGTCCCTGGGGAGATGGACCTTAGCGGGAGCCACACCGTCGACTATGTAATTATAAACCGAGGTACAGGTGCTGCAAAGGAGAGACCTGAGCCCCATGGGGACACTGAGGGGCCAGAGCGGTTGGGGAGCCGGGAGTGTCCAGGGAGGGCGTGCGATGGGAGGTAACGAGCCTGTGAGCATGAGCCAGGGAAACACCAGGGCAGGGGCGTTTGATGGCTGGGCCAGCAGTGGTGGACTTGAGCAACTGGCCAGAGTTGAGAGCAGATGGGGAGGTCGGGTGGGAAAAGAGGCAGGCTGATGAGGGGTGTGGAGGGGCCCTTGAAGAGTTTTGAGGAGGAGCGAAATGATTGGGTATCCCTTGCAGAGTGGCCTGCTGCATGCTGGTGGAAGCAGGACAGATGGGCAGGCTTGCAGGTGTGGAGAGGATGGTGGCCCATCTGGGGTGCTATGAGCTCAAAAGTGGGATTCGAGAGAGATTCTTGGGGTTGAGGAAGCAGAAGGGCCCCGCTGTGCAGGCTGGTGAGCAAGGGGGCAGGCAGCTGTCCTGTCCCTCCAGGTGCACATTCATTGGGAACCAGGACACGTATGAGACGCACCTGGAGACCTGCCGCTTTGAGGGCCTGAAGGAGTTTCTGCAGCAGACAGACGACCGCTTCCATGAGATGCATGTGGCATTGGCCCAGAAGGACCAGGAGATTGCCTTTCTACGCTCCATGCTAGGCAAGCTCTCAGAGAAGATTGACCAGCTGGAGAAGAGCCTGGAGCTCAAGTTTGGTGAGAGCCCCTTCCAGAGGGGGTGGGGGTGCAGCTGCTCCCTCTGGTCCCTGACACCGTCTCCCCTACCACAGATGTCCTGGATGAAAACCAGAGCAAGCTGAGCGAGGACCTAATGGAGTTCCGCAGGGATGCATCCATGTTGAACGTGAGCGGGCGAGGGACAGATGAGGTTGGGCAGGTTGGGGGACACAGGACTGTTCCTCTGGTTGGGGCCCAGCAGGAGGCTTGCCCTGCTCAGGATTAGGTGTCTGTACTGGGGAGAGCTGCCGCTGTACCTGCCCTGCCCTGGCTGAGCTCAGCCTGGTGGGCAGGGGGATTGTGAAGCCACATCCACCATACCCTCCATTCTTGGCCTTGCAGGATGAACTGTCCCATATCAATGCACGGCTGAACATGGGCATTCTAGGATGTGAGTATGGGCCCACCGCTGCTCCCACCACTCTCCCCGGGGGCTCCCCATCCCTTACCAGCTCCTCCTGTCTCTGCAGCCTATGACCCACAGCAGATCTTCAAGTGCAAAGGAACCTTTGTGGGCCACCAGGGCCCCGTCTGGTGTCTCTGTGTCTACTCCATGGGGGACCTGCTCTTCAGTGGCTCCTCTGACAAGACCATTAAGGTGGGTGGGGTCCTGCCTAGGTGAGCCTGGCAGGGTGGAGGGCGGGTACTGCCCATGGGCGGGTCTCCCCCTCCTAGGCAGGGCTTTCTCCCTGAGGATGGCTTGCTTCCTCGTTCCCACCCTTCCAGCCCTGGCACCTGGCTGATCTTGCTGGGACCCACCTGACTCTGGTCTCTGTAGGTGTGGGACACATGTACCACCTACAAGTGCCAGAAGACGCTGGAGGGCCATGATGGCATTGTGCTGGCTCTGTGCATCCAGGGGTGAGTGCAAGCGTGTGTGTGCCCACTGACCACAGGGGCCAACGTGGAACCAGGGACAGGGACCCCGTGCTGCTGCCCCATGGGTTATGAGCTCAAGCCTGTGCGGCCACATGTCAAAATGTGGCTGTATCTATCCGTCCTGTGAGGCACCCATGCTCTTGAGCAGGATGGGCTCTGGGGCAGTAGCATGTGGGCCCTCCATCTCTGACATCGTACATTCACAAAGCAGAGGCCTGGCGCTAGAGTGCCTCAGGCAGCCAGAGGACAGGGATGGGATATCACAGAGCGGAAGCAGGAGCTCAGCTGTGGTTGTCCTGGGTGTAGCTCGGGGACAGGACCACGGAGCAGCTGACCCACCTACCTCCCTGCCCCCATGGTGGCCCCTTCTAGACGTCTCTTGTCTTATGTCATGAGACGTTGTGTTGTGGGCACGAGTGAGTGTGTGGGGGAGAGAGGGTTTCTGGGTCACAGGAAGCAGCAGCCCGACTGCCGGCGCCCTAACTAGGTAATTATTGCCTGGCTCACCTGCCGGACTCTTGCCACACCAGCACCAGGGTTTGGGCCTCCACCTCCAGTGTCCCCTCACTGAAACAGGAACACTGAGGCTGGGCTTGAAGTACCAGCAGTGGCCTTGGCACTGCCCCAAACTGCCGATTCCTGGTGGCCAGTGCTACCTCGGCCTCAGGGCAGTGTCAGTGAGGACGGTGGCTTCTCCTGCCCTGACACCTTAGCTTTGCTTCCCCAGGTGCAAGCTCTACAGCGGCTCAGCAGACTGCACCATCATTGTAAGTGGGGCCTGTGGGAGGGCCAGGCCGCGCCAGTGTCTGGGAACCCCGGGCACAACGTGCCCCTGGGGCCTGGGCTCATGGCAGCAGGCTGGCGCCTGAGGCTTCCTGTCCTCCCACCTGCCAGGTGTGGGATATCCAGAACCTGCAGAAAGTGAACACAATCCGGGCCCACGACAACCCCGTGTGCACGCTGGTCTCCTCGCACAACATGCTCTTCAGCGGCTCTCTGAAGGCCATCAAGGTCAGGCAAGGCGGTGCGTGTGCACGTGCCAGGCACAGGGGTGCTGGATGCCCGGCCACGCAGCCCGTACTCACAGCCATCCCCACAGGTCTGGGACATTGTAGGCACTGAACTGAAGCTAAAGAAGGAGCTAACGGGCCTCAACCACTGGGTGCGGGCCCTTGTGGCTGCCCAGAGCTACCTGTACAGTGGCTCCTACCAGACAATCAAGGTACTCCTGTGCCACACTCCCAGTGGCAGGTCCCCTCCCTGTACCAATGCTGCCCTGCCGCCTTCCCACCCCAGCTGGGAGGCCCTCACACCCCCCGGGAGGTCAGTGGGCTGCCCACGGTGTCTGAAGCCCATGAGGCACCTGGCCTGGGACCAAGTGACCTAGTGGCCTTCACTTCCCTATAGATCTGGGACATCCGGACCCTCGACTGCATCCATGTCCTGCAGACGTCTGGTGGCAGTGTATACTCTATCGCCGTGACAAATCACCACATTGTTTGTGGCACCTACGAGAACCTCATCCACGTAAGGGTGGACACCTAAGGGTAGGGCCTGACTCTGGGCCCCTGTCCCCACTGTTGGTGTCTCTGACCTGCCTGTGCCATCACCCCAGGTGTGGGACATTGAGTCCAAGGAGCAGGTGCGAACCCTGACAGGCCACGTCGGCACTGTGTATGCCTTGGCGGTCATCTCGACACCGGACCAGACCAAAGTCTTCAGCGCATCCTATGATCGGTCTCTCAGGGTCTGTGCTGGCCTGGTGGCATTGGGAGGCTCAGGGCAGGTTGCCAGGCCTGGGCGCATCCTCACATCTCATGTGCCCCCAGGTCTGGAGCATGGACAACATGATATGCACGCAGACCCTGCTGCGGCACCAGGGCAGCGTAACTGCGCTGGCTGTGTCCCGGGGCCGGCTCTTCTCGGGGGCTGTGGACAGCACTGTGAAGGTCAGCGTCTTGGCTTGGGTCATCCAAAGGGGCTGGCTGCACTTGTGGAGCAAGGGGTTGGGGGTGAGGAGCCAGGAGTCCCAAGGAGGTGTGAACAGCAGCGGGTGTTGGGGCAGGTTGGCCAAACAGGCACCTGAAACAGAGCCTTCCTCTGCAGGTTTGGACTTGCTGACAGTACAGGCGAGCTCTTGGCTTCTTCTGGGCCCACCCTAGGCCTATCCATACCAGGCTGGCCACATGGGTGGTGTCAGGGTCTCTGCCTGCCCATTTGGGGGTAGGCAGGCAGGCTCAGCTGGCCAGGCAGTGCCCTTCCGATCCTGCATCCGGTGAGCGTCCCTGTCTGCCTGGTTCTGTCACCATTGCTGCCAGGACAGTGCCCAGCCCCTTTCTACACTCCAAGCATCATGCTCGTCTGGCCCGCCCTCCATCCCAGTTCCTGATGGACTACAGGGCCTTTGTACTCAACTTTTCTATTGTTTTTAGACTGTACATAGATTTGATTACTTTCTGATTGAAATAAAAGCTGCACAGCTCTGACAGGTGTGGCTCAGTTGGTTGGGCATCATCCCGCAAAGCGAAAGGTTGTGGGTTCAATTCCTAGTCCGGGCACATGCCTGGGTTGGGGGTTTGTTCTCTGTCTGAGAAGCAACTGATGGATGTTTCTCTCTCACACTGATGTTTCTCTCCTCTTTCTCCCTCCCTTCCCCTCTCACTAAAAATAAATAAAATAGTTTTTTGTTTTTTTTTTAAGAAGAAAATAAAAGCTACAGACTGTGGCTGTGAGTGGGGATGGTGCTGGGGTGAGGGAGAGGCTGCCTGAGGACATTGGTGGGCCCGGGCACCAGCTGCCAGTGGCCGGTGGAGGGGGGCACGAAAAGGGTTCCCACTGTCTTTCACCCCAGGACGCAGCCCTGTGAGTGCCTGCCCCTCCCTGTCAGGAACAGCCTAGCCCCCCCTTTTCCCAATACACACAGCAGAAAGTGCTCCAGGACGTTTTTTGCTGTTTATTGACAGCTGACAGGACCTCCCTGCCTAGACCCCCACTTCCCACCTGCTGGAACCCCAGCCTGGGCCGCTAACTAGGGAGAGGCCAGGTGTGTCCACAGGGGGAGCATCACAACATGATGACTGGAAAGGGCCTCATTCCCAGACGCCACCGTGGCTGATCCCCTCCCACCTGTATCACAATCGCTGGTTTTTGGCATTTTTAATTTTTTTTTAAGAGATGTCAAAGTTGTGTCCCACACATGTGGATCAGCAAACACAATAGAGGAGGCCGGTCAGTACTTTTTGGAAAGGGTGTGGGGAGAGGGGAGAAAGGGCGAGGACAACCACACGACACAGCCTTGGACCATGAGCAGAAGCATCTGTGGGAAATCAGGTGGGGTGGGCTGGCCGCCTGGAGAGGGAGGGTCAGGCACACCGTCACACGTGCCGCACGTGGCCTGGCATGCACGCCCTGCACCCACTGCTGCCATCTGGCTGACCCACCGCTTCACGCTGCAACTCCCTGGAACCCAGGCAGACCTTCAGAGCAGCGCCCCGCAGAGGGAGCCCACTGCATCATCTCCACAGCGTGAAGGACACAGCCCAGCAGCAAGGCACATCCTTCGAGTTCTTCAGATGCAGAGGAGTTAGGTGAGAGCAGAGGAGGACCCTGGCAGGGCACGGACCCTTCCCCAGACTGAAGCCTCCTGTTGTGCTACTGGGCCAGGGGTCTGGCCGCTCCTGGATAGAGGCAAGGAAGGACAGACAGACAGTGGCCAGGGCCTCTAATAGCTTTTGTCTTGAGCTAGACTCCAGTGTCCTTGCGGTTGGTAAATGGTTTTCTATAGGATCAATAATATTTTTTTCTTTAAATATATATTCATTAAAGTTATACCTTTTTGTTTCTCTGGGGAAATCTGCCTCAGCTCATTCCCAATAAATTAATACTCTTGATAGCTTATATTCTGTGGGTACAGTGGGGCAGGGGTCCTGACCCCAGCCCCTTGTGCTGTGCCAGAGCAGCTGGCAGAGGTCCCCAATGGGCAGTTCTGTGCTGGGCGTAGGCCTGTGCTCTGCCACAGATTGGGGAGGGGGCTACAGTGGCTTCCCCCCTCCCACTACCTTCCAGGGTGGGCCTAGCCTGGACTCAGGGCAGCGGTGCCTGGGGCTGCCCCTTCTCTACACAGTGGGCAGAGCCTGGTGGAGGGTGGGCAGGTGGCCCAGCAGTTATTGCACAGGGAGCAGCAGACAGGGATGGGCACCTGCAGGGCAGCAGCATCTGTCCAGAGCCCTTGGGTCCCTAGGCCAGGCAGTCTTCCAAGCTGGGCGTCCTGCCTGAGCCCAGGGGGCAGGAGTTGTGCTTGTGCAGGGGCTGGGTAGCACGGCCGCTCTGCCTCCTGGCCCTGGCAGGTGTCCCCTGCACCCTGCCCCACTCAGCCCTCCGCCCTGCCCAATTGGGCCGCGCCCAGAGGTGCCCATCCTGAGGTAAAGGTCAGTGTGCAGGTGGAGCCCAGACAGCATAGGCGGGCCCAACGTGGGTCACGTCACTCCAGCATGGCGTCCAGTTGGTCCGCCAGGTCATCAAACATGCTGCCAATGTCATCCAGGATGCTACCGGTGCTCTTCTCCGTGGTCGAGGGGCTGGGGGTGGGGAGAGCGTGAGTAGAGTGGCACGGGGTGGGGCCATCGAAAAGCGCCCCTCCCCTACACAGACCGCGCTTCGGTTCAAACCTTCAGTGCATGGGCGGAGCCAGCTGAAGACCACACCCCCCCTTCGATTACGGCCTCAGAATGTAAATGGCTGGAGGTGGCGCACAAAACCCGCCCACGCCGGACCCCACCCCACTGTGTAAGGTGTGGCTCTGAAACCACCTCCTTAAGGCATCGGGTCACGCACCACCCTGCCGGACTCAGCCCCGTGCACTGATCCGTGTGCGCCTATGGAAGGCGGCACAGGATGCCTTCCATACCCACACCAGACCCCGTCCCACACCTACCGCAGGCCCTGGGCGTCCTCCTGCCGGATCTTTTCTTCTACTGCTTGCAGCGCGGCCGCCAGACACGCGCTGGTCTCCTCCAGCTTCTGCCGGGCACTGTCCCCAGGCGAGGCACCGTCGGCCGCGGCCACGACTGGGGGCCCAGTGGCAGCCGCAGCGGCCGCAGCAGCAGCGGCACGCGGCGGCTTGGCGGGCACGTGCAGCCCGGGAGGGCCGGGAGACGGGGGCTTGGCGGGACTAGCGCTCAGCGAGGGAGGCGTGCTGGCAGGCTTGGCCAGGGCAGAGGGCGGCTGGCGCGCCGGCGAGGGTGTGGGCGACGGGTTGGCGCTGCCCGACTGCAGCCCCGCTGCGGCCTTGGCGGGCTTGGGCGCCGTGGGCGGCGGCGGCGGCTTGGGAGACACGGGCGGCGGCGTGCCTTGGGCACCCTTCACCTCTATGGGAAGGAGGAAACTTGCACCGCTGCGGGAGGTGGCTCTGTGCGCAAGCTGGCGATCCCAGCACGAGCCCTACCACAGAACTCTGCCTCACGCCCGAGAGCGGAGATGTGGCCCTCAGAACTGCGGCCAGGTTCCGGCAGCGGCCCCTCGCTGCCCTTCTGTGGGGCGTGCCTCCCCATGCAAACCTGGTCGCATTACTGCTTCCAGATCCCTCCCAGTCCGCCCCTAACTTTACGTCCCTTCTGGTGTGGCCCTTGGGTTGCTTGATTGCCTACAGGGCCTTTGCAACTCTAACACTTGTGCCGGGAAGCCTCTCCCCTCCCGCGTTGGGCCCACTCTCTGGCTGGTCAGGGTCAGACCCTCCCTAACCCTTCTAGCATCCTGCACCTGTTCTCCCTCCACAGGTGCTACTATTAATGGGTTTCTGCAATCCTCCTTCACTGAGCAACCTGAGGACCAGCCAGCCACCCTCCCCACAGCTCTGGGCTGGCATAGTTGTCCAATAGACGGATGGATGAGAGTCTGACACTTTCCAACCCCATTCTACCTGGCTCCCATCAGTTCTGAGAAGAGAAAGCCCCCTCAGACCATGGAGTGGGAAGGTGGGGTGGAGGCCCTTCTTGAGCTGGCTCCCTCACCTACCTGGGCTGCCAGGACCTGGTAGTGGCACCTTCTTGGAAGCAGGTGTGGGTGACCCCTGGATCTTCGGCACCGGCTGAGCCAGGACAGGCTTTGGAGAGACAGGCGGCTTAGCTGGCTTCCGAGCATCACTGTCTGGTGGGGGCAGCGTGGGCAAATGCATCCGGTCAGAGGGTGGCGGCTCGGCAGGTGGGGGTGGTGGGGGCAGCTCCAGGGGTCCAGCCTGCTCAGAGCCCAGTCGGCGGCGCACCGTGCCTGTGCCATTCTGATACACAGACAGTGACGGGGGTGGCTCTGGGCCTGGCTCCCGCTCCTTGGCCTTGGGCCGGCGTTTGACCGTGTCAGATTCAGTCAAGATGAACTTGACATTCTCCTGCTGGCTCTGTTTGGCTCGGATACGCCTCTTGAGTGTGGCACTGGCCTCCACCCTGGCCAAGGGAGGGCCCTCCCCACTTGCCTCTCCCTTGGCTGCACCTCGAAGCCGCTGCCGGGTAGTGCCATCTTCCACAAAGTGGCCATGATCCGCAGGCCCCACTGGCTCCCCAGGCCCCCGGCGGGCAGCAGCCAGCAGTCCTGTGACAGGCCCACTAAGTGTGCGGCGCCGGTTCACCACCTCTCCATCAGGCCCAATGGCCTCCTTGTGCTTTACTGAGGCCAACACTGTGGCCACCCGGCCTGGCTCCAGGCTGTCAGGGTGAGGTGTAGAGTGGCCCTCAGGGGGCCTACGGGCTGCCCGGCCCCCACCCCCAATGGATGACAGCTCAAGCATGGCTGCAATGCTCTTCACACTGCCAGCACTGCCAGTGTCCACACTGCCGGCCAGGTCACTAGCCCGCCGGCGCTGTGCCCGGACCCCCAGATGGCCATCCTCAGTCCCAGCCCCCTTGGTCTCAGCATCTGGTACTGACTCATCAGTTAAGTTGGCGCTAGCCATGGCTGAGCTAGAGCGCTTGGGCGGAGGTGGTGGGGGCCCCTTCTTTCGGGGCCGAACAGCAAAGGACTGGCTGCGGTTGACGTTCTTGTCAGCACCAGCAGGTGCCCGCACTGAGTGGCTGCGGCCTACACGCCGCTGGACTGTGGCGTAAGGCCCCGTGGCAGCTGGTACCAGCAGCTCATCCCGCTCTGGCTCACTGTCAGACGCTGCATACCGATTCAGGCTGTGGGCACGCTTCTTGGGCCTCCCTGGCTCCACATCGGCTTCAGGGGGCAGACACAGC